TAAACTATTAGATATTCCATAAAGTAAAAACCTTTATTATATAAAGTGATTTTAATATAATAAATTTTACAAGATAAACAGTTCTGAAAGCAATAAAAAAACTAAAACATTTCAACAAATCCCTTTTATTTTAATGCCATAATAAGTGTTTTTACTCGTAAACTAGGGTGGAATTTCAAAGCAAGTTCTATGGTGGTGGTGGCTACATGTTTGTTCCCTTTTCCTTCAAAGCCATTTTGGAGAGTGCTGAAAAAGAAGACATCTGAAGTAGATATGAACTTTATTGACTTATAATTTTGCCACATAATTCGAAAAAAAGATTTGTTTATTGAAATTTTTCAAAAGAACCTTTCAAGACAAATAAAGATGTGTTACTGCTCGGACAGGATGACAGCAAACCTGGAAAAGCTAGGAATTTGAAAAAGCAGTCAACAAAAATTGTGCTCTCCCCCCAATCTTAAAGTTTGCACATACACACGCAATTAAACCATGCTGTTTAGCTATGTCAGTATACCTGAACATAGTTTCTTGTCCTGTCACTCTGTTACCTTATCTTGTGATATTTATCTCATTCATTATACTTGATGATAGGTTAGATCAAATAGTCTTATACATACAAATACAACATTTTATTGCCTACCATCAAGATGAAATGTTTTTGTTTTAGAATCTTTATCTGTGGTACTCTAGTAAGAAGTTTACCTTTTACAATCACATTACGTACTAAAATAATGGTAATTAGATAGAATTGTGAAAGAAGTTTAAATATCAGTGTGATCAGCTCGGCAAAAACGTGGAATTTTGTTTGAAAAGTCCGGAAAAGAAAAATGTGAAAAAAATGTGATTGCCTTATCAGGAATATTTGTATCAAGATTGATTGATTAAAAACAGAATGTATTATTTTCAAGTTTGATTATGTTTGAAACATTGTATTGTTTTAAGGAAATTTGGTTTACTAAAATTGTATTGTTTCATTAGTTCCAAAAAAAAACATTACATTGTTCTTAGGAAATATGTTTTACTTAAGATGTATTGTTTCATTAGTTCCAAAAAAAACAAAAACGTTACATTTGATTTTAGCTGGATGTGTATGAATACTGACCATTTGTAAACGTTTTAGGTGAAAAGCTTGAAAAGTAGCTGGCAATTATAAATCTTAATAAAATTGTAGGAATACACAAGCCAGTAAAAAACATTTTCACCTATTTCAGACTGTATCCTGATCTCTTGTCTTTATATTATTTCAATAGAAAAAAAATTTGATGCAATGGCAAAAAAAATATATTTTTTTTAACCTTGAATTTTGCATGTATTTTATTGATTGCATGTACTGGAATTAATGTTAAAAATTTTTACAACCACACTTTACTTATTATTATTATTATTAACATACTGATTATATTACTTTTTGCCTGAAAATTCCCCGTCTCTAAACGTTATCCAGTTGAGAATCAAAATTAAAACCTTTCATCATAACATAAAAAATATACAGTTTTTATTTCAATTGATCTTCATAGACAATTGTTGAAAATGAACAAATCATGTTTTCTCATCAATTGTTATCATTGTTAGAACAACGTATAAAAGATATTATTTTGTGTGGGAAAAAAAATGTGCTTAGAGATGACTTATTGGTGGCTAAATTAATCTTCAGTCGTGTTTGTTTGTTTGTTTAAAGGATGTAATCAAGAACAATTGTAACGAGGCTATTATAGAGTCTTGTATTTAATCTGAATACCATACTTACCAAAGGTTTGTGCACCGTTTTACAAACGGAATCCATCAACGTTTCTATTACCTTACAAATTACCCGCGAATTATTATTGATGTGAATTTTTTTCCCTAGATTTTCCCCGTTTTATTTGTGAATAATAATAAATTTTTCTTAATTAGTCACTTTGAAAATAAGAAATTATACGGTTTGAAGCTTGTGAACACAATTATATTACCATGTTTAATAATAAACATGTGTTCCATGTTTGCTTGCAACATGTTTCGAGCTTTTAGTGTACATGCATTGTTAACCGTATTTTTGAAATAAAGTTTTCCAATATAATGTGTTAGACAACTTTGAAGGAGCAAGTACTGGTTCGTGAATGTTAGAATTAAATGTATCGTCACCATACATGACTTGTAGGTAGAATATCTTGAAACATCACTTAAAACACGCAGTGTGTGTGAGTCCTGATTCTGCAGTTAGGGTACTGTAGGCAGTGTAGAAGTAATAGTTTTGGCTTTAAAGAACTGATTCTGCCTCTTTCTTCTTCTCTATAGAAGAAGGCCTCAACTTCTCCCGTTAGAAACAGGAAAGAGCACGACATTAAAGCTAAAAACTTAAGTACACTGTTGTGTCTAAACTTGGAGCAGAACAATTTCATTATAAGTTCAGTGATAATAATATCCACCGTTTTAATAGGCCTCTATAGGATTTACATAGATGTGACGTCATGCAGCATATATCTATGGGATTTAAACAGTTGTGACGTCATGCAGCATATATCTACAGGATTTAAACAGTTGTGACGTCATGCAGCATATGTCCATAGGATTTAAACAGTTTCGAAAGCGCACGGGTTATGGGGTTTTTATTCATTTTTATCTATACTTATTTTATTTCTTGATAAGAAGGACTTAGAAGTATTAGAATACCAAAGAAATTAAAAAAAAAGAGTTAGTTCATCGTTTGATATTAAACGAAGATCGCTATTGGTAGATGAGAGAAAATAGATAATTATTTGCCGTTCTATTCAGATTATTGTAACACTTTTTAAACTTTTAAATTCAAGTTTTATTTAGTGAAAAGTGAAACATTTTTTACATAAAACAATGTATATAATAAAATATGTGGTGACATTACCTCGCCAATTATATATATAGTTTCTTTTCATAATCGTATTTATAAAAAACTAGAGAACCATCTTTCCAGAGGTGATTAGGGGATCCGACCCTTGTGCTATTTTTTCGCTAATGTTAACTTTATATAACATTGAAACCTTCAGTAGATGACATAAAATCACCCCTAGCGACGTAGCCGTTAATAGACTATTCTTGTTAATTTAACATATAATATCACCATGGTGATTTCTTCATATCGTCACAAACGTGCAGCAGAAGAGTGTGTTTAATTTTGAAAATTGTTACACAGTGGTGGAATTGGACTGGAACGCCGTTGTAGGAGGGAAAATGTGGTCCCGACCGCGTTCCGGAAGCAGTCGGAGACAAGCATTCGCTTTTTTTAACCACGTTTTTTTTTCTCCTCAGTGCTTCTCCCGTTCCTGGCACTAAATGTCTTGGTCACACCCCTGAATTCCGCCAGACAATGGAAGAACCCCCCCCCCCCACCACACACACACACATTCTGCTATGCTTGGCATTAAAATTACATCTGAAGTTATTGTTGAATTTCTCGCAAGGGCTCTCTGCACTTGACATCTCTGATTTAGGATTGATAGACTACATGGAAGTCAATATCTCCCACCGCCAAAGGGTGAGCATGTTTGGTAACGGGATTCGAACTCGCGACCCGCAGATTACGAGTTACGTTTCCTAACCACCAGGTCATGCTAGGCTTTATTTTGGATTTTCCAAGTAATTTCTTTCCAATTCCACCACAGTAAACAACATGTAGTAGTTACGCTAACCACGTTACTTGATTTTACACTTACCCGTCTAATAAATTATAAAATTGAGATTTACGATTACTTCAGTCACACACAAACACCACCACCAACAAACAATTGACGGCGTTTTTATATTTGGAACGATTGTGATAAATTAAACTGGGCTAGGTATTTTGGAACACAAGATATACTGTGAGAATACACCCAAATTTGGTACTGAGCATGCGCACTGTGATATCGTGGGCATGGTTTTTATTAACAATAGTTTTATGTTGTGTTAATAAATAATAACACATTCCTTTGCTAAATAAGAATTGGAGAAGTGAACCACGAAAATAATACTATTTTCCTTTGGTAATATAGATTTCCAAACGCCAGTAGAATGTTTTAGTTTGTTTTGTTTTGTTTTAACATCAGAAGGTGTTTTTAACGACCATTTTACGCTACTTGCGAGATTGATGTGCAAAGAGTTTAGCAACAGTAACACCAGGTGGGAAAGCAGGCACGTACAAATAAATCGATCTTCAACCAAAGCAGCTAGCCTTTCATTTTTCCAGCGGTCTTTATATTGGCATACATTTTTCTTTGCTTCCACGCACAAGTTCTTATAATTTCTTTTTTGCTGTTTAGTAGAACTTTTAACTCGAACTATTAGTAGCAAACATACTGATAAATCTTGAATGTTATATTACCGATTGTCATTGTTGAAAAATGGGCTAATTTAGATACAGAGTTAAAATAACTACATGCTGTTTTTGATTAATGCCAGCTTTAGCAAATGCGACGCCCTCAATGGCAGAGTTACCACATTACACAGATCCACTAATAGGTATACGCTACGGGGCGTTCATTAGGGCCCACCTGCCTCCCCCCCCCAAAAAAAAGTAATTGGGGATTGGACAACACCTGTTTGGCTGAAATTTTGCGATAGACAAAATTATTAAGTATATTTTTATTACAGTGTGTATGCGTATTTTCTAGTAGCAAAGCCACATCTGGCTATCTGCTGTGTCCATCGAGGGAAATCGAACCCCTGATCTTAGCGTTGCAAGTCCGAAGATTTACCGCTGTCCCACCGGGGGGACTTTCATTATAGACTAGTACAAGTTCCTAAAAATGCAACATCCCCAAGTAATAGCTTTTCTTCTTATGGTACTGCTTTTGATTAAATACCTTTAGTATAATATCCATTAACAAAACCTTGTCTTTTATGCTTTAGTGGTTGAGTTGTGGGTAATTTAATAGGAAAAAATACTGTTGGCACATTTCGTTATTGCAAAAACAAAACAATCATCCAAATAACTAACAAAGGAATTCACGATTCATAATTATGTAATCCAATATTCTTAAAGATACGTAAACATTACAGACAAAGTTTGGTACCAACTTTGAGTAAAGAATGTTTAATTGTTGCTGGGATAATCTAGTTAATATAGAATCCAGTAGAGGGCGTACTCAACATTTGTTGCTAGGGCGTGTTCGTTTCCTTTTGTTATTACACGAATGAATAAATACGTAGGTCTTTCAATTGATTTTTTGATTTCGTTCGTTAGATATTCCACTTTTCTCAACATGAGATTTTAGGAAGAAGTCTCGTATACTGTCTTAATTGTTATAAAATATGCAGGAGTTAATGCATTAAATACAAGGGCATACTGTATCAAACTTGTAGCTGGTACCTAGTTATCCAATACATTGGTTTATTTTCATGTCTCTCGTCTACTACTACTATGCAACTAACGATTTCGTATTCCATTTATTTAGACAAATAAATAAATATGTTCACAATGATTACACTGATAGCGGAAACAAGCTTGTGTGTGTACAATACTCATATACACGAGTTCTTTTTTATTTAAAAAATATTATTTATAGCACTGTTTAGTTACCCACCCACCCCAGTGGAAGTGTAACATTCCGTTTTATTAGTAAAATATTAAGGAAACAACAATGGTATGATAAAGGCGCCTTAAAGCCCAAGCCTAGAAGTGATTAAACGATTAAAACGTATTATCCCACAGTGGCACAGCGGCATATCTGCGGACTTACAACGCTAGAATCCGTGTTTCGATACCCGTGGTGGGCAGAGCACAGACAGCCCATTGTGTAGCTTTGTGCTTAATTACAAACAAACAAAACTTATTCAGCGACTTCCTTTTTTCAGTACTCACAGAGATTAGAACACCCTCCTCCTCCTAAAAAAAAGTAACTCAAAAACGCTTAAACTGTGCATGAGGTCATTTTAAAACATATCCCATAATATCTCAAATGAACGATACTTATACCAGCCTTGCGTCCATGGCTTTTAACGTTTCAGAACTTTATTACTTAATAAAAGTTTCTAAAAAGAAAAGAAGTGCTTGAAATGGCAGTACTGGCACTTCTATGTTCCAAAGAGTTGCGTACAGGTTTTTCTCATCATAGCTAGAAATGTGTATCTACGTGCATACCACCATTTTGCCCCATTTTATGCGTACTGGCACTTTTTAATGCCATTATAAAACTTTTTTTTTTGACACTCTTAGAGACAGTCTACATTGTGATATATGAGGTGCGTCAAATGTGAAAACGTTTATTTTTGATAACCATTAGGCTTAAGAATTATGACATTAAAACGTTTTTTGTTTGTTTTTGACAGCCAACAGGCTTAAAAATTTAACAGAGAAATCTCTTGATTTGTTAAACCTCGAAACTTTCCATACTAGCACGTCCAGTCACGTAAAATGCAGCATATTGTAATGATTTCATGCGCCAACATCTATAGCCATCAAACCATCCAGAACCCTTGAACCTCAGTATAGAAAACTATGTTCTTCTGTTGGAAGATGACGTCAGAGAGGGTATATTTTCTTTCAAACTCTGTGTTTTGTTACTTTTGGTGACGTAACCTACAATATGTTTCTATCAATAGACAATTTTTTTTCATAGCGAATGAAAAATGCCGTTCGAGGCTAATGAAGTATTTAATTTGAAGTTAATAAAAAAGTTGGTTAAAGGAGAAAGAATACCCGTGGTGGGCGGAGCATAGATAGCACATTGTGTAGCTTTGTGCTTAACTTCAAACAAACCTACCTACCATGGTACTGTATCTCACCAAATTGTCACGATTATCTAGTCTTTAAATAACACAATTGCTGATCGAATAAGTAATAGCGGCACAGAGTGCAGAAAAAGTGGTTAATTCTATGGCAAAGGATTTGATAATGATATACTGACATTAGATGTCAAGCATAACAAAAACATTTTAATCAGCATTAGTATTATGGGAACAGTTAAAGTGTGGGTACACTGGCTGTTCATTTGGCGCACCTGAACCCGGCTCCTCCTGCACCCATCCACCCTCCCTACGCCACTGCATATACTCGTTTTAAATTAATCTACACCCATAGCATAATTTCAAGTTTGTGTTCGCATTTTGATATGGAAAAAATTGCCAGTATTTGGACACACGTTTCGAA